ATTTTTCGAAAAAATTCCAATCGATTGGCTTGTTTAGAATTAAAATCCATCCATCTGTCAATAGAGTTACAAGTGGTAAAAACCTGATCATTTTTCGTAACGCGGCCGATTTTTTTTTTAAATTGCATCCCCCCATATGTTGCCGTAAGACGTAATCCTACGTCAAAAAGTACCACATTTAGGATATTAAATATAGGCCCTGGAAAATTGTGAAGACGTGAGCAAAATGTTGAGAAATTTTTAAATTGCAAAGAAATACTGAATTGTTTCTAAAAAAAATAGAGAAAAATTCGAAGTAATACTGACTACAATCCTAATATAAAAATGCAGAGGGAGCTGTAAGGAGAACCTCAAGGATAATTCCTAGGTGGTTTTGAGGAGAATTGTACGGGGATTATGACGAGAATAGCAGAAGAATTTTTGGGAGAATTTCAAGATAATTATGATGAGAATTTTAAAGGTGTTCTGAGGGTCATTAAAAATGAATACTGAGGATTCAGAAAAAAATCTAGGAAGCTCTGAGAAAAATACCAAAGGAATTGTATTCCGTTGTTAAATAAAAAATTGGAAGAGAAATTAAAAGAAATTTTTATTAAATTCGATAGAGAATTCCAAGGTATTCTGATGAGAATTTCGAAGAATGTCTAAGGAGAGTTTTGCGTAAAATTTAAAGAAAATTTTATCCTGCCCTTTGGTTCAGTGAGGGTTAACAGATGCGTTTCGTATTTCACCACATGTAGTTTCAAAGAACCGGAATGAAATGTGGCGCTTGCGAAGATCACTTGATGACACGATATGACGGAATATTGATACTATTTGTATAAAACACAAATAAATGCTTCCAAAAATGTGTTAATTGATATTCAAAAAATAAAATGTTGCATTGAAATACAGGGTGCGTGACGAATTTTTGCAGTAAATGGCATATTTGAGAAAAAATACACCAGTTAGTTATTCTAGCAATGAATTTTGTGCGATTTATTTTCTTTCGCAACATATGGAAGTTGTAAGTAAATTTATTCAAAAAAATTGCCTTCCCTTTCGACGACTGTAGTTAGACGCTTCCGGAAACTGCAGTATGCACGTTTTAAAATGTTTCGATCCATAGATGTCATCACTGCCTTGATTTTAGTTTTTAGCGACTTAAGTGTGGTGTGAGGGGTTCTATTGGTATCCCGTTCGACGACGCCCTATACAAAATAATCCAACGGATTGATATCGGGACTGCTTGGGGGCCAAATTTCTTCCTCCCAAATTTACGAAATATTTTCCGTAAGCCATTTCTGTGCTTTATTAGCAGTATGAGCAGGTGCTCCGTCTTATCACTTTCCCAAGCCTTTGTACTTTAAATCGTGATAAATTTAAATGTTCTCTTATTTTACATCTGTTGATCCATTCAGAACGGCCATCTCGTTGTAGTTAAACCATAGCATTGCTAATAATGTGTATATCTATGTCTTTTCCGGTAGCATCGAGTCAACAAAGTAAAAGTGAAAAGACAGCAGCAAAATGGAGCACATACAATACGGCAATGGAGCGATGCTCGTTAAAAAAATTCCCGGAGATGGCTACTGCCTATTTTCCGCGCTGGTGTTACAGTTTTATAAGAAACAACTAGGAACTCAACATCATCATATAAAGATAATGGACTTACGTCGAAATGCCGTGAAACACATCAAATATAAAACATGGGAAAACTAGCAATGATTCTGACTGGAGGAATTTAATGCAAATTAATACAAATTATACAAATTTTTAGAACAGTTTCAAAGGAATTTCAGTGTGAGGAGAGTTCCAAGGGAATCTTTCAGTAAGTTTAAGAATAATTTTGTGATATTTATGAGTACAATTCAAAGGAAATTCTGGGATTTATACCATAGAAATTCTGAAAGACAATATGTACTATTGGTAAGTAATTTAAACCTAAAAAATCCCAATCACCAATGGACTTTTTTTTACTTATCCTGGTCCGACATCCCTCAGCATTGCACCTGCATCACAATGTTACGCCAATTCACTCGGTCCGTGGCTGTTTGTCTCCAATTTCTTGACCGTCCCACACTTCGAAGATCCTGCTCCACTTGGTCTAACCACCTTGCTTGCTGTGCTCCTCTTCGTCTTGTACCGGCCGGATTCGAGGCAAACACCATTTTTGCGGGATTGTTGTCCGGCATTCATAAAACGTGTCCCACCCATCGTACCCGTCCAGCTTTCACAACTTTCTGGATACAGGGTTCGCCATAGAGTTGCGCCAGCTCGTGGTTCATCCTTCGCCTCCATACACCGTTCTCACATACCCCGTCAAAGATGGTCCTAAGCACTAGTCGTTCGAAAACAGCCAGTGCTTGCAGGTCCTCCTCGAGCATCGTCCACTCTCGTGCCCGTAGAGAACTACCGGTCTTATCAGCGTGTTGTACATGGTACATTTAGTACGGAGGTGAAGTTTACCCGACCTCAGGGTCTTGTGGAGTCCGTAGTAAGCACGACTTCCGGCAATAATATGCCGACGAATTTCTCTGATGCAGTTGTTATCCGACGTCACCAATGATCCGAGCTACACAAATTCATCCACCACCTCGAACTCATCCCCGTCGATTGTCACGCTTCTGCCTATGCGAGCCCTATCCCGCTCGGTTCCTCCAGCTAACAGATACTTTGTCTTCGACGTATTCACCTTTAATCCAACCTTCTCTGCTGCACGTTTCAGCCTGGTGTACTGCTACGCTGCGGCCTGAAGCGTTCTTCCGACAATGTTCACGTCGACAGCGAAGCAGATGAACTGGCTGGACTTATTGAAGATCGTGCCCCGCATGTTAAAGCCCGCACGTTTCATAACATCTTCTAGCGCAATGTTGAACAGGAGGCAGGAAAGATCATCCCCTTGTCGAAGTCCTTTGCGAGTTTCAAGCGAATCCGATAACGCACCCGATATATTCACACAGCACTGTACACCATCCATCGTAGCCCTGATCAGTCTGGTAACTTTCCCGGGAAAACCGTTCTCGTCCATAATCTTCCATAGCTCTTCACGGCCAATAGTATCATAGGCAGCCTTGAAATCGATCAATAGGTGGTGCGTAGGGACTTGATATTCATGACACTTTTGGAGGATCTGCCGCAACGTTAAGATTTGGTCCGTCGTCGATCGCCCGTCCACAAAACCGGCTTGATAACTTCCCACAAATCTGCTTGCTAGCGGCGATAAACGGCGATGGATGGAATTATGCATAAAAAAGGACCAGTATTTCTTTTGGTAAAGACTCGCTCTTATCGACTAATTGATTCTGAAACTCTAACGTTAATATTTATTTAAATATTTTACGAACTGTAAGTTTTTTTTTTTAAAGATCTGCTATAATAAATCACTAAAATATTTCCATGTTACATGCTTCGAAATTTTAGACCAAAGTAGTACCCAAACTAACAATTGTGGCTTACATGTCACTCAAACATGATATTTTTCACACGATGAATTTTACCATTTAGTGCGTCAGAGTACCCTTTCGAGTTGGAAAACCGATTGGGACAATGGAAATCTTGGACGGTGGTTTCATTCAATTATTCCTAATGTTTCTTCGAGAGCGTGGTTTAAAGGCTTGGACTTAAGACGTGACTTCATTCGCGTGATGAGTAGACTTATGTCCAACCACTACTTGCTAGATGCTCATCTCAATAGAATAAACCTCGTGGACAGCAACATCTGTCGGTGTGGAAACGGTTACGATGACATCGATCACGCAGTTTGGCAATGTACGGATAATGACGCCGCCAGAGAGCGACTTTTGAATACCCTTGAGGCCCAAGGAAGACAACCCTATGTTCCTATCAGAGACGTGTAGGGAACTCGCGATATCTGCTTTATGCAGTCGGTTTATGTGTTTCTTCAAATGTCTAGTATAAGAATTTAATTCCTTTGTCTTTTGTCTCTCTTTATTAGTTTTTGTTTGTCTTGTCCCCCCGTCTCGATGAGTCTCATCGTCGCCCACTGGTCACCCACCATAGCCGGTCGAACTCCAGACGAAACTAGAACCGCACTACCATTCATACTGGCGACAACGCTCTGACGAGACAACGAAACCTTACCCCCAAGCTTCTTCTCCTGATCCTATCCTTCGACAATGTACCTCTCTAACCTCGAGTAAGCCGCGAGTATTCGGCCCAACTCCTACTAGACATAGAATTAAGTGAATTTAGTTACAAACAAAGAACAATGATCTATCGGCTCCGTAAAGCTAACGTGATTGAGCCTTCCAAATAAACATACTTGTTAAAAAAAATTAATCATATTTGATAAAACTTTACTTATTATATGAGTGACCTACGCTTTTGCGAATTTGAGTGAACGGTACTCAAATATAAGTCAGTCTCATTTGCCGTGAAGTTTGTTTTGAAAGCAGAATTGACTGCACGCTATTTCTAAACAACCCAAATTTGAGTAGGATCTACTCATATGCGTCAGAAGTAGGGCTACCCAAAAATTGAGCAAACAAAGTTGGAACTGGCAAGATGACAAATGAATGATGTTTTCCATTCCATTCGTGATAGTCCCAACTTTGTTTATTTAATTTAGGGTACCCTACCTTTTGAACGATTTGGATAGATCCTACTACAATTTGGGCTGTTTTGGAATAGCGTGTGTTCCGTTTCGACCCGTCCTTAAGTAAAGATTGACATTTTACCTAAGGGATTTTTCAGTGGAGTGAAAGGATAAGAAACGATCCGCTATTTTTCACAAAATTCGGCTTTTGCTTATGGGGTTTTCTATAGGAGAGAACAGTTGCAGAGTCGTCGTCACGCGAATGGTTTCATCAATACCAAAACAAAGTTATCAAATAAAGTTCGGTGGCCATAATTAAGAACACGTCTCAAAATAACGTCCCTAATGTTCGCCCCATAGTTAAAAAGCGCAAAAAGCGTTAAATCTTCTAAATGTGCAATAGAGTGACAAGTGAACCCCTGTCCGATTTCTACATTACAACCAATTCAACGTGTGTTGTAAGTTGCTAAAAGAAATCGGACAGGGGTTCACAATTCCTAACCTACGGAACATCAGCGGTAATAGTGATATTGATTTATTAGGCTAGCATGTTACAAAAGTATAAGTCCTTTCAATTCATGCAATTATCAGATTTTTTGATGGCCAGCGCAGTGTAGATTTTCGTAAGTACAATAAGATGGGCAAGATAAGGCGCCTAGAAAACGAAAAATATGAAAATAACACTCAACTTTTTCTTAAAAAAAGAGCAATAAATGTACTAAATTTGTACCTCAAATAGGCAATTCACAGCAGATGTGATATTGGTTTTTATTACTATTGCTTATTATTGCTGAATGAATGAGTTATTTGCTTGATAGGCCGAAGCGAGGGGCTAGGCTGACATTACATCACGTAACCTTAACCCACGGATATTTCGAGTAAGGGAAAGTCAACTGTACCCAATCATATAAAGAGGCTATTGCCCCACTCAACCCTTCTATAGGTACACCTATAAACCATGCTATATAATCACTGATAATGTCCACAAACTTCGCTCGTTATCTTCCCTCAGATTAGTAAATTATAAAAGTCATCTAACGAAAGAAACAGCCGATAAGTTTTTAATTGCCGTTGCAAATGTATGTCCTCAACTCAATTTCGCACATGCTCCAGTGCCCCCACCGTCGAAGTACAGGTAGCTCTATCACCGGGCACACAAAGCAACGATTGGTAATCGAAAATATGTCCATGGCTGCAGGAGACCTCCCTACCGGAGCCGAAAATGCACACAAAGTATTGGTAGCAGTTGTAAGGATGTGGAACCACCCCAATGTCCACGTCCCGGCAGATGTCGGCCGGATCGATTGTTGTGGTAGGAGTCAACGTGGACGTTGTGATTGCGTCGGTTGTACTGGCTGAAGTTGACGCAGACGTGGTTGACTGAGCATCCGTTGATGAATCGGTCGTGGGGTTTGAAGTTACAGCTGTTGTTTGTTCAGTCTGAGTTGTAGTGGATTCAGTGGTACTGGGCTGCTCCGTCGGAGTGGCCGTAGAGGGTTCTTCCGTGTTAGTGGTGTCAACCGTTGTGTCAGTAACAGTTGATGATTCAGTCGGTGGAACTAAAGTTGGTGTTTGCTCCGTCTGAGTTGCAGTGGTTAATTCGGTTGAACTTGAAGGAGACGTGGATTCAGTGGTACTAGATTGCTCCGTTGGAGTAGCCGTAGAGGGATCTTCCGTGTTAGTGGTGTCAACCGTTGTGTCAGTAGCAGTTGATGATTCAGTTGGTGGAACTGAAGTCGTTGTTTGTTCCGTCTGAGTTGCAGTGGTTGATTCGGTTGAGCTTGAAGGAGACGTGGATTCAGTGGTACTGGGCTGCATCGTCGGAGTAACCGTAGAGGGTTCCTCTGTACTTGTGTCAGTAACAGTTGATGATTCAGTCGTCGGAGTTGAAGGTTGAGGTGATGATACTGTAGTCGACTGGGTGACAGTTGTTTCGGAAGTCGTTGGTTGTTCCGTCTGAGTTGCAGTGGTTGATTCGGTTGTACTGGGCTGTTCCGTAGAAGTAATCGTTGTGTCAGTTACAGTTGATGGTGATTCAGTCGTGGGGACTGAAGCCGTCTGGGTGGCAGTTTCTCCTGAAGTCTCAGTCGTTGGTTGCTCGGTTTCAGTTACGGTTTGTGTCTCCGTAGAGGTAATTTCTATCGTTGAATCCATAGTAGACGACTCTTCCGAAATTGTGGTTGAAAATACAGTGGTGGCATCGCTTGTTGAACCGCTTTCGGTAGTTGTCTGCGGTTCTGATAACGTCGAACTCACAGTGGAGGGTTCGGTACTGATTTCCGGCGTTGACGGCATATGCGTAGTACTCGGATCAACCTCAGTAGTGTTTTCTGTCTCATCTGTCGACAAATCATCACAATCTCCTGAGGCAATAACACACATCCCATCGATGAAATCAAGTCCAGTCCCGCATTCCCTGAGGTGTGGAAACCCTGCTTCGCATGCATAATAACTGGAACAACTTTTCGGGTTGTCCACGTACTCGTCTTGTTCCGAACAAGTGACGCCTTCAATTCTGCAGGATGCATTTTCCGGAAGAACGCAAGTTTTCGTTAGTCGATCGAAGTACATCATGCTTGGGCATTCAGCTGGATGAGGAATACCATCTTTGCAGATGGAGTACCTGAAAATAATCAAACATCAACATTTGTCTTCTTGGTCGATAGAACCAAACTAATGTACCTAGCGCAGTCCTGTCCGGTAGAATCCGGTAAATAAACCTGCTCGTCGTCCTCGCTGGGACAGGAAATATTACAGACTGCATTAATCGGAACGTCACAATGACGATTTGCCGAATCGAACAGCAATCCAGGGCTGCAATGACCTGGTAGGGGCTTCTCTCCGAGACATATCACATATCTTGCGCAACTATGAGGGTCTGGATGAACGTACACTCCATCCGAGTCGCACAATCCATCAGCAGCGGACCAGTTTTCTGTTAGACACTTCGCTTGACGTTCACCAATGCAGCGGCTCGATTCCACATCAAAGAGCATGCCAGTTGGACAGTTTAGTTCTTCCATTTTGCCAGCTCGGCATGCCAGAAATTTCTCACATGATCCCGGAATTGCAAACATAGATCCATACTGGGCCACAAATTCAATCGTACATTCTGAATTATTTTCAGCTACTGCTACAATAGCTGCTAAGCTTAGTAACACGACGAATAACTTCCACATGGCCGCGAAAGACAGCTTTGCGAATGGATAACTGTACATGCACTGGCGATTTTACCCCGAATTGCAGCAGTTGGCTACCTCTGCGATGCCGTTGGATTTGCCTATCAATATTGCAGCCTATCATTTTTCATTGTTTTATTAGATGCAGCCGGGTTATCCTTACACAGTTGATTACGTTTATCTCTGTTGCATATAACTACAGCTGAACGGATATAACACAGTTAGCTTACTCATTTAACGGTTGATTATATTATTTTTTAGTTGACGCACTGCCCGGCACAGTGTAGTCAACAGATGACGATTGTGTTTTGTGGACGATGTTTTAGACTCAAAAATATAGGCACTGAGTTATGTCTGGTTGTCTGTGGTTTAACTGACCAGACAATACCAGCCAGATTATCGAGATTGGGTATTTAGGCAGCTGGGCCATACACACGCGGCTAGCAGGGTTCACACCCTGTTTTAAATTAAAGTCATAAATTCCGGCTAGAGCCGTATGGGTATTCCTCCAGCAGCTGAACTTTTTTGATAAACCCAACGGAAAGCATGCAGCGTCGTACTCAGGGTTTCTTCAAATCTATTATACTAACAATATAGTTCACTCCTCACTTTCCCATACATCACGCAGCAGACAAGAATGTAACACCATCTAGCGTCAGGGGTGGTCCCCAGCAAACGTTTGATTATAGTCTAGGGGTGTGTGATTAGCAAGTATTACACAAGAAAAATACAATTTTATTTAATCAGGGTAGAAAGTATGACAAGTTGATCAAATCTGTAGATACATTGGAACATTTGAAAACCACATTTTCGATCTAAGGCCCGGAGGATCAAATATTATATACCAATCGCCTCAGCTCGACGAGATCTGAAAATGTATTTCTGTGTGTATGAGCGATCCGACTCACTTTTCTTAGTTGGTTGATCCGATTTGAGTGCAACCGGTTCCATTTTATTGCTATAGAGTCCATTTGCCCTGTTTTCTGATCGGACATTTGGTTCCGGAGATATTATCATAAAACTGAAACTGTACAATTTAACTGCACAGTGAGAATTTCATTTTTTCACGATGATGACAGAATCAATTTGACTGCAACTGATTCCATTTTGTTATCCCTATTGAACGTCATCCCAATTGGACATTTAGTTCCGGATATAGGCCCGACAAAGTGAAATTTTACACACTCACTTTTCTTGGAGATTACTGAACCAATTTAAGTGAAACCGATTTTGTTTATTTTATTTTTTTATCCAGTTCATTTATTTGGAAGACTCAATCACGTTGGCTTTACGGAGCCGATAATTCATTGTTCTTTGTAACAAAATTCACTTAATTCTATGCCTGGTAGAAGTTGGGTCGAATACTCGCGGCTTACTCTAGGTTAGAAGGGTACATAGTCGGAGAATAGGATCAGGGGATGATCTTAGGGGTGGGGTTTCGTTGTCTCGTCAGAGCGTTGTCGCCAGTATGAATAGTAGTTCGGTTCTAGGTTCGTCTGGAGTTCAACCAGCTATGGTGAGTGACCAGTGGGCGACGATGAGACTCATCGAGACGGTGGGACAAGACAAAATAAACTAATAAAGAGAGACAAAAGACAAAGTTATTAGATTCTTATACTAGACATTTGAAGAAACATATAAATCGACTGCATATAGCCGATATCGCGAGTGCCCAACACGTCCATAGGGTTGTCTTCCTTGGGCCTCGAGGGTATTCAAAAGTCGTTCTCTGGCGGCGTACATTGCCAAACTGCGTGTTCGTGTTCATCGTAACCGTTTCCACACCGACAGATGTTGCTGTGCACGAGGTTTATTCTATGGAGATGCACATCTAGCGAGTAGTGGTTGGACATAAGTCTACTCATCACGCGAATGAAGTCACAACTTAAGCCCAAGCCTTTAAACAACGCTCTCGAAGAAACATTAGGAATAATTGAATGTAACCACCGTCCAAGATTTCCAGTGTCCCAATCGGTTTGCCAACTCGAAAGGGTACTCTGACGCACTACCTTTGCGAGAGAGTCCGCCTTCTCATTGCCTGGGATTGGAGCAATGTGAGGGGACCCATACAAAGGTGATATATGATCTTTCGACCAGTACACTCATCTGCTCCCTTAACTTTGAAAGGAAATAAGATGAGTGCCTACCTTGTTTCATCGACCGAGATGAAGTGATGGTCTGTGGGCATATTGGAAATCATCCCCAATGCGAAGTTGAGTACTGCCAGCTCAGCAACAAGTACGGAACAAGGTTCCTGAAGCTTAGCTTGCGGAAGGCTAGAGTTTTTATTGAAGACACCGAAGCCAGTGGATCCATTGAGACTCTCATGCAATTGACTTGTTGGTACTTTTCAGTAAAACTACGCAGGATAATAACAGGTCGAAGTTGATCGGGAATCCCATGAGTTGCTTGTTTCATGGTCAGATCATATTCAATTGAGGAACTGCTCATGGTGAAGCGAGCACGGTCTGGAGTATAACAAAGAAGACACATATCCGACGATATGTAGTGGGGGTAGATTCTCATAAACCGAGATTGTGTGTTCAGTCCAAGAATTTCTTCAAAATTTGCAATTATAAGTGTGTTCGTCACTCCGCTTTTGATTAGTATTCCGAGATAGAGCTCCCAGAAACGGTTCTGGAGGGGTGTTACTCCTGCCAGAACCTCGAGACTCGTGTTATGCGTTGAGTGCATACAGCCAAGAGCAATACGCAGACAACGATATTGAATTCGTTCCAATTTTATTAGGTGACATTTTCTTGCCGAGAGAAAGCACAAAGAGCCGTACTCTTGAGCAGAGAGAATAGTTGTTTTATAAAGCGTTATGAGGTCTTCCGGATGAGCACCCCACCGTGTGCCGCAAATTGAACGGAGAAAGATGATCCTCTGCTGACATGTTTGCCTCAAATACGTAATATGGGTATTTCAAGTGCATTTTGAATCAAACCAGACCCCACGGAACATGAAAGACAATGATTGGGTAATGTTTCTGCCCAAAAGGTTAAGCTGCATTTGGGCTAGGTACCGCTTTCGAGTTCAGTTTTCTGCGGCGTGAATTCGATCCCTAGATTCCTAGCCCAAGAAGACAAGTTATCTAAAGAATTTTGCAATGGTCCTTGCAAGTCCACGGCATGTGGACCTCATACGAAAACCACATCGTCGTCTGCAAGTTGTCTTAGCGTGCATTGTTCTGCCAAACAGTTGTCGATATCTTTGACAAAAAAATTATAACGAAGAGGGCTGAGACATAAGCCTTGGAAGTTATCAGTTGTCCAAGAGAAAAGTTCATTTACTTTTCTGACAACAAATTGTACAAGAAATTACTTAAAATTCCAGAAAGTCTACATCTGTGCAGTTTGCCTGACAGAATTTCAATGGAAACTGAATCAAAAGCCCCCTTAATGTCCAAGAATACTGAAGCCAATTGCTCATTGTGCGCAAAGACCAGTTGAATATCTTTGGAAAGCAGCGCTAGACAATCGTTTGTTCCTTTGCTCTTGCGGAACCCAACCTGTGTATTTGATAGCAATTGATTTGCTTCGACCCACTGATCGAGTCTCCGAAGGATCAATTTCTCCAACAATTTCCTAATGCACGAAAGCATAGCACTCTGACGGTATGAGTTATGGTCAGACGCTGGTTTGCCAGGTTTTCGAATGGATATTACTTCGACCTGTCTCCATTCCGGAGGTACAATGTTGTTTTCTAGTAAAGAATTGAATAAGTCTAGCAAGCGTCTTTTAGCGATATCTGGGAGATTTTTCAGAAGATTGAATTTAATCATATCGCTTCCCGGTGAAGAGTTGTTCGATTAAAGAAGATCCATAGAGAATTCCAGCATTGCGAATGGTTTATCCAGCGAGCCGTCGCTCGGAGACTCTTCTCGAAGAATGTGATGTGCTGGAACTGAGTCCGGACAGACCTTTTTAGCGAAATCAAATATACATCGGTTGGAGTATTCTTCACTCTCATTAGAAGATGAGTGGTTACGCATGCTGCAAGCCACCCTCCATAAGGTGTTCATTGAGGCTTTTCGTGAGAGTCCCTCGACGAAATTGCGCCAATAACCGCGTTTTTTCTTTGATTAATTGTTTTAGGTTTGTCTCAAGCTTTGAAAACCGGGAAATAAACGAGAATTTAAAAGAAGCCGGGAAAAAACCCGGGAACTCGACGGGAGAACCGGGAAAAATCAATAAACTTTACCATACGGTAGCATTAAAATGTATCCAAAACATCAGTTTTGCATCAAACGTCAAAATTACCTAACGTATAAATTTAAATGATGGTCGACCAGCAGATGGAAATGATGTGAAAATGATAATGACATTTTGCTACCTGTCAAATCGTAAGGAATATTTTTTAGAACATCATCAATTTTGTAATGGCAAATCTGAAAACTAGGTGTCGCATGGTCAGTTTTGGCTTTGCTTTGATTCTTCAATTGATCAGATCATTATTCCAAAAGGAAAGTGAAATTCCGTTCGGAAGGCTCCACCTTCATGTCGTTCACGATACTAATGTAATCGATCTTTCCTTTACCGATTTCTTTTGATCTGCGTACTGGGTCAAGAAATGCTAAAGAAAAGTAAGTTCTTTAGCATATTCCATGTCCTATCCCGTAGCACGTAAGAACGTCAGTACTTTTCAGCTGCGTAGCAGGCTTTAAAATCTGCCGTCGATCGAACGTCTTCAGAAACCTACTTCTAGCTTGTTCAACGAAGGCAGTGCAATTTGAAGATGAACATACCCAATACATTTCAGGACGATGATGCTATCCAGGAGACATAAAACTCTGGAGTTATTGGTGACGGTCCGGCAGCCGTGATTAACTTTGATCATGTCGATGTGTTTTAGGTTGCTGGGTGAAGTATGCGACAAGAAATTTCTGATGCAGCTGGGTATAATAACGTCGTGTAAGAAGATTATAAGAGATGATGTACTGCGGATTGAAAGGAGCACGCTTCTCATCGTCAGCATAATCCGACGTATCAAGAATGTGATATCGGACTTGTAAGTGTTTTCCGTGGACTTGAGGGTGAACACATGTTTGGACTGGTCGGCACATGGTTGGGTTTCGTTGAAGAGTTCGCAGTAGAGGCACCACCTGACAATACAGGACTGTTCCACTAGTAAGAGGAAGATGCTTTTTTAATGACCTAGATGGAACATTTATGCCAGGTTCTTCAAGCTCATAGAGGTGCCGAACAGATGCCACAACCACCGAACATTCAGGATCAAGTGATGCTGATCCTCACGAATCAGCAGATGTTGATGGCGTAAATGGTACAACAGCTGGTCGCCACCCAAGTTGCCATCAGGAATCTCTCCCCCGATGGAAGAGTGCTGGACTCGTTATCGAGTAACATGGCGGAGTTCGTGTATGACACGTTCGACGCATGATTTTCTCGATGCCCGGCAAAGTAAGACTGCTTCTGCGAAAGCTAAGCCCACCCGATCACGAGTTCTTTCGTACGTTCTGTTTCAAAGAGACCGTCGAAAAGTTAAAGTCTCTATTCGGAACCACAGTATCAGCTTTTCGCCGCCAATTCAAATACCCTTCAACTCGCAAAGCAAGACAGCGATGATTACCTGGCATACTCAGGCAAGGTTAGTAAGGCTTGCGTCGATTTCAAGCTTTCGGAATTGACTGAAGAGCAACAATTTAAATGCCTTATTTACGTCTGCGGTCTAAAGGCAAAGCATGATGCTGAAATCTGAATGCGACTTATCAACAAGTTGAACGAAGCGGTCGATCTTACGCTACAGCAAGTCGTGGAGCAGTGTAACAGTCTCGTCAACCTAAAGCAGGACACCGTCTTAGTCGAGAATCACTAACAACCAACAAATCGAAACACACTGCATCGAAGAAGATCAAGCGACCGTCAACGAAGACCGTGATCATCCACAACATCAGCCAGGGTAGAAATTTCGTCGAGCTCCAGGTCAACAACGTTCCTCTACGATTACAATTGGATACAGGATCCGATCTATCAATAATTGCGCTCCGATCGTGAATCAAAATGGGTCAACCGAAAACAAAACCAACGGTGTGCACCGCACGAACGGCTTCCGGACATCCACTCAAGCTGGTTGCCGAGATGTGGTGCAGCATTTCCCTCAACAACTCTACCAAAGAGGGTAAGTGCTTCGTTGCCGCTCCTAACGTCAGTCTTGATATTTTAGGCATCGACTGGACGGATTTGTTTTGGTTATGGAACCATCCAATCGCATCGTTTTGTAACCAGTTCAGCGCTCAACCAAATCTCTCACTGGCTACTCTGCAAGCCCAATTCCCGGAAGTATTCAGCAGCAAGGTAGACCACTGCACGACGGCTCCCGTCAAGCCTGGTACTGAAACGAAACCCGAAGCCAGTTGTTAGACCGAAGCGTCCGGTGTTCTAGTGCATGAAAGGTGTGGTAGAGCTCCGATCGTAGTGGATCGGAAGTCCAATGGAACCGTCCGAACATGTGCTGGTTTTTCAACCGGACTCAACAATGTGCTGGAGCCAAATCAGTACCCCCTACCGCTGCCCGAATACATCTTCGCCAGAATGTCCAGTTGTCGGGTGTTCAGTCACATCGTCCTTTTCGATGCCTACTTACAGGTCGAGGTGGATCCGGAAAGCCAAGGGCCTCTTTCAATTCACCCGCTTATCGCCCGGCATCAAATCCAGTCCAGGCGCATTCCAACAGCTAGTGGATACGGTACGATGCTTGCCGGTCTCACTTGTACCGTTGTGTATTTGGACCACATCGTAGTGTGTGGTCCGGCGGAAAAATACCATCAATGCAACCTTCACCTCACCTTGCAACGGCTGCAAGAATTCCGCTTCACGGTCCGTATCGAAAAATGCAGCTTTTACATGCGGCAAGTGAAGTACTCGATAGTGACGGGATTCGTCCGGATCCAGACAAGATTGCACCGATCGTCAGTATGCCACCACCGAACGACGTTACCACGCTGCGGGCGTACCTTGGGGAGCTGTAAATTGTTATGGCAAATACGTTCCAGAGATGCGCACCCTTCGACACGCTATCGATCAGCTACTGAAGATTGGTGTAAAATTCGAGTGGTCACCAGCTTTCCAAAGATCGTTCGACCACTTCCGAAAAATCCTCCAGTCCCCACTTCTGTTGACGCACTATAATCCACACTTGGGACTAGTTTTGTCGGCGGACGCTTCCTCAATTGGACGGGGTGCCCGGATCGCTCACAATTTCCCGGATGGCACTGTGAAAGCTATTTGCCACGCTTGACGCAGTTTGACAGCAGTGGAGAGTAATTATAGCCAAATCGAATGATTTTCGGGCGGCGTTTCCTGCTTGAGACCGATCACAAACCTTTGCTTGCCATATTTGGGTCGAAAAAGAGCATCCCCACATATACCGCCAATCGACTGCAGAGGTCATTATGTCTCGACGGAAGCTTTCGGACACGCAGATATCTTGTCTCGCCTGATCAATCGCTATGTTCGTCCGGAAGAGGAATTAATCATTGCCACCGTCGAGTTCGAAGGCAGTATTCGAAGCATCGTGAACCAGTCACTGGAGGCCCTGCCAGTTTCGTTCAAGTTCGTACAAGCCAAGACCCGTAAGGAAGAAAGAGAATAAAGCTAGCATCACGAATCCACACATTCAGGAGTTTTTCCATCGTCGCGAGGCCCTCTCAATCACCACTGGCTGCTTGATGTACGGTGAACGATTATTGCTACCAGTCGTTCTTCGAAATAAAGTGCTTGAACAGCTACATAAAGGCCATCCAGGATCCAACGGATCTTGCGAGTCAGTACGTCTACTGGCCCCATATCGATAAGGATATCGAACACCTGGTGCAAACGTGAAATGAGTGTTCGAAGGTAGCGAAGACGGATCGTAAAACCTGCCTCGAGTCACGGCCAGCCCCGGAGAAACCCTGGAAACCCAACGAAATGTTGAGAAAAAATCCAACGAGAATTTTAAAAAGAATTCAATGGGAATCTGGATCTGAGGAAAAAATTACTATGGAGAATTCAAGTTAATCAACCGAAAAGGAATCCAGTTTCTTCGAACGTCGACTCTTTTGATGGTCATTGATCTTCCAGCCGGTATAAGAACGCCAGTCCCTGGAACCATCAATTCGTAGTTAAGGACCTTGTCGTCTCGTTGTTAGCACGTCTGCTACAATACCCAAGTAACGAACAAGCCCGCTTATCGCCCTGTTTGAAATATAAAGTATGGAAGGCCTTCATTAACCTTATATGCTATTCAGTGATGCAACATATCATGACACTCACGTGACACTCGTCTTCGCATCAACCGACTATCGCTGACAGATCGTTTTGTCACGTAGTGAGAGTTAGAGCCATGGCAAACTACAATCACCAGTAATGGTCGCTGCTCACAAGCAAAACGTTACACTCGCTGCTGATGATGAAAAGCACAACGAAAATAGTGAAGACTTTCTGCAGTACGATCATGAGAAAAAGCGAAACGACAGAAGAAAATGAAAACACAACCTACGAATTCTAAGTTCGTCTCGGCAGGTGCGACTGTGTGAGTTACAAACAAAGCAGGCAACATGAAACGGAAGCTCTTGGGCTCACTCATCAACACACTCACATAAGCAAGCAAAGCAGCAACTGCTTCAAAACGAGCACATATGAGTGTCGTGATTGTCGGGAATGACCAGATCGGTGATGGATCACATAAGAAGACGACATTCACCAGTTGCTTTTTACTTCTTTCGTCAAGTTGATGGACGATGAGCACATTGATACACTCAACAAATTCTACACGTCATCATCATGTGTCTCACACTTAATTTTGCGCTTATTGTGAAATACATCCATTTCATGTGTGAATCTTTTGCTATGAATCATGCCTGAACACTATTGATTTAAATTGTGACACACTTGGATTCTATATGCCTCATATGGTGATATCAATAGCGACTTCTACTTTGCCGACTCTAAAAATGAATCGACAAATATATAAACAAAACTGCCAGAGGCCAGAGGTTTCACATATCTTTTTAATGCGTCTGATTTGGGATTCGATCACGGACTGTTGGGGTATGCTGCTGCCGGAGTCTTCGTTCGATCCCACTGTGCCTCGGTTGTTCTCATATATGAGGCGGGTTGATAGGATAAAGTCACAACTCTTGTTTTCGATGTTTACCTTTCTGAGCAAGCAATTCACATCGCATTGAAATGCAAAACACTTTAAATCCATCTGTTTTGAACAGTAGTGTGATTCAATGTGCAATACACTTGAATAGATAGTGAAAGATTTTCAACATTTCAAAGTTTGAAACACTATAAATTAACGTGTATAACACATAGAACCAAGGTGAAATACACTTAAAGTAAATGTGATTGTGCATTTAAAAAATCAAGTGTTTAAACACTTCGATCAAACGTGTGGAATTGTTTGAGTGTAGGAATGTACTAAGCGTTACTACCATCAGCTGTTTGGCGATCGTGATTGTGATAGGTCGCAACTCTGATGCTATTAGCGGGTTTGATGCTTACTTGGTTGACTCACAACGCCGATCTGACACCTTCATGAGGTCTTCGATTTCGCCGAACTGTGAAAACTGCCTGAATGATTATTTTTACCTTCTCGGATTTGCATGAATTGTTTGCTATGGGCAATTATTCACATTTGTGCTAAAATGGCCTTTTCGACATTTTTCGGAAAATACAGTGAATGTATATTTTTAGCAATATTGAAAAAAAAAAAAACATTCAAGTCACAGAGATTGGTGTGAGAAAAGAACGAGCATCGCTTGAAGGAAGGGAAAATAAAGTGCTGGCATATTTTATTCATATTGCCAAAATTCACGAAACCAGCAAACCTCGCAAGAACTGCTCATGTTTCAAAGAAGGGAAAGTACTTAGACGCGGAGTATTAAAGCTGTAAATAACAAGATCATTTATTTTCCTTAACTATTGTTTATAAGATAACAAACGGTATTTCGCATTCCCCAAGGTCACTGATAGGGATCCGGCAATATTTCATTCCATTCTACTCTACACATTTTCTGTTATCGCAGCAAGAAGTGGATTGCGGGTACATGCATCCCTATCGCCGGGCACGCAAACCGACACCTGGGAATCGAAAATGTGACCATCGCTGCAGGTGGCTTCCCTACCGGAGCCGAAAATGCACACAAAGTATTGGTAGCAGTTGTACGGATGTGGAACCACCCCAATGTCCACGTCCCGGCAGATGTCGGCCGGATCGATTGTTGTGGTAGGAGTCAACGTGGACGTTGTGATTGCGTCGGTTGTACTGACTGAAGTTGACGCAGACGTGGTTGACTGAGCATCCGTTGATGAATCGGTCGTGGGGTTTGAAGTTACAGCTGTTGTTTGTTCAGTCTGAGTTGTAGTGGATTCAGTGGTACTGGGCTGCTCCGTCGGAGTGGCCGTAGAGGGTTCTCCCGTGTTAGTGGTGTCAACCGTTGTGTCAGTAAGAGTTGATGATTCAGTCGATGGAACTGAAGTTGTTGTTTGCTCCGTCTGAGTTGCAGTGGTTAATTCGGTTGAACTTGAAGGAGACGTGGATTCAGTGGTACTGGGCTGCTCCGTCGGAGTAGCCGTAGAGGGATCTTCCGTGTTAGTGGTGTCAACCGTTGTGTCAGTAACAGTTGATGATTCAGTTGGTGGAACTGAAGTTGTTGTTTGGTCCGTCTGAGTTGCAGTGGTTAAATCAGTTGAACTTGAAGGAGACGTGGATTCAGTGGTACTAGACTGCTCCGTCGGAGTAGCCGTAGAGGGATCTTCCGTGTTAGTGGTGTCATCCGTTGTGTCAGTAGCAGTTGATGATTCAGTTGGTGGAACTGAAGTTGTTGTTTGCTCCGTCTGAGTTGCAGTGGTTAATTCGGTTGAACTTGAAGGAGACGTGGATTCAGTGGTACTAGACTGCTCCGTCGGAGTAGCCGTAGATGGTTCTTCCGTGCTACTGGTGTCAACCGTTGTGTCAGTAACAGTTGATGATTCAGTCGGTGGAACTGAAGTCGAGTCAGTCGTTGATTGTTCGGTTTCAGTTACGGTTGGTGTTGTTGAATCTATTACAGTACTTGAACTAGTAGACATTTCGGTTGTACTGGGATCAACCTCAGTAGTGGCACCTGTGTCCTCTGTGATCCCATCATCGCAATCTCCCGGGACACACTGCCCGTTCATGAAGTGGTGCCCCACTTCACATTCCTGATAGTGGGGGAACCCTCCTTCGCATTGATAATAACTGTAACAGCTTCTAGGATCAGCAATTTTTTCGTCATGCTCCGAACAGTAGACACCTTTTATCGAGCAGGAAGCATCGGCCGGACGCATACAGGTACCGGTCACCAGATCAAAGTACAACATACTTGAACACTCAGCTGGATGGGGATTACCATTTAAGCAAATGAAATACCTAAAATTGAATAACTGTCAACTTGTTTTAACTCTTTCTATAACAGTCCACCGAACTCACCTGGCACAACTCTGCCCGCTAGATTCCGGTAGGAATACCAAGTCGTTGCCCTCAATCGGACAACTGACATCGCAGATTACATTCGGCGGAAAATCACATTTACCAGTTTGCGAGTTGAACAGCAATCCAGTAGAACATTGCCTTGGGATGGCAGTCAGCCCTAGGCACAGTACATATCTTGCACAGTGATAAGGATCTGGATAAGTGGATACTTCGTCCTCAGCGTTACAAAGTCCATTTGTTTTGGACCACTTCTCCGAGGAACACTTTGCATTGGCTTCACTGGTGCATCGATTTGAGTCCACGTCGAAGAGCATTCCGCTTGGACAGTTGCGTTCTTCTAGCCAACCGGAAGCGCAAACTAGGAATTTCTGACAAGATCCCGGAAAAGGAAGCAAGGATCCATGCTGGGCTACGAATTCCTCCGTACATTGAATCACATTTCCAGCTGCCACCGCTGCTACACTCAAAACTACTAAGACCACTTTCAGCATGGCTTCGAGGTTTGAAAGAGTGCCTTCCGATTGTAACGTACAAGTTGAACTGAGTCTCGTATTGCTTCAGTAGGCTTTCCTTGTATCAACATATATCAATGGTTTCTGCGCCACTTGATTAGATACTTGATTAGCCAAATATGAGGTCGATTGCGCTTATCTACAGGTCAACTAAAGGGCGAACACGAAATTATTGCGACACCCAAAATGTCATGCCAATTTTCTTATAATGTTTAGAATCATACCAAAATTTTAGGATAGTTTTATACATATATTTACTTCAAAAATCAAAAGAAAAGTTAATCGATGGAGCCTTGAGTGTAAAATTGAACGCATTTTCGCTTGATGCCCTCCATCAAAGTCTTTACAGTGTCATCCGGTACCAGTTTCTCAGTTTTTTTTTTTCCATTTTCTTAGCATGTCCTTCTCGTCTTTGACTGTCTTCTTGCTCTTCCGAAGTTCCCGCTTCATTATTGCCCAGTACTGCTCCACCGGGCGCAGCTCCGGACAGTTTCATGTCCTTTGGACCAAAATGGACAGAATTGGCCTCATACCACTCCAGGACACTTTTAGAATAGTGGCATGATGCCAAATCTGGCCAAAATAGCGGAGCTTCGTCGTGCTGCTGCAAGAACGGCAAAAGGCGCTTCTCGAGGCACTCAGATTTGTAGATCTGTCCATTTACTGTGCCCTTTGTCACGAAAGGCTCACTCCTCAGTCCGCAAGAGCAGATGGCCTGCCAAATGAGATATTTGGAGGCGAACTTCGACATTTTCTTCTTCTTAAATTTGTCGTCCACATCGAACTTGCTCTTGCCGGTGAAAAACTCCAACCCCGGAATTTGCTTAAAATCGGCTTTTATATACGTTTCGTCGTCCATCACACAGCAGCCATATTTTGTCAGCATCTTCTCGTAGAGCTTCCGGCCCGAGTTTTAGCCGTCGATTGTTGCCGCTCATCGCGGTTTGGGAAGTTCTGTACCTTGTATGTATGTAGTCCAGCTCTCTTTTTTGCATTCTGGACGTAGCTCTGCGACATGCCGATCTTTTTAGCCAAATCACGGCTTGAGACGTTGGGATTTGCTTTAATCATCCGCTTCACCTTTCCCTCCGTCTTTTTGTTCTCCGGTCCCAGTTTTCTTCCAGCTCCTTTGCCGTGGTCCAACGTCAACCGCTCCTGGAACCGCTTCAACACTCTGGAGACGGTTGAATGGTGAATGTTCAACATTTTTCCCAACTGCCGGTGCGACAGGTCAGGAAATTCCAGGTGTTTGGAAAGAATTTGTTCTCTCAACTCGCGTTGGTTCACCTCCATTTTCGTTGAATCGAAAAACACGACTTCGAGTTTGACAGCATGTACACAATACACATCAATGAGAAAGAGTGCAAAATTTGGTTGATTTTTACCCAATGGTAAAAAAGTTATGCCCTGTTGAATGTGTCGCAATAATTTCGTGTTCGCCCTTTACGTACATTCACGGCAATAATAAGTTCCAAAAATAAAACCAATACCAGCCGATCTTGACGCATTTTTCGAGAAAGACTTAAGTAGACATACGTGTTTAGTCACCTGATAAAAGCAAATCACCGAACGTGTGGTGGCTTATCACCGCTCCACGAGTAGTGACGACAGGTCCCACCCCACGGTGCATCCTATGATTCATTCGATTTGAATTTATGATCCCAATCGAACGAGGTGTTGAAAAATAATGAATTTCCACAGCAAGATATAAATCACCATTGAGTCCTGACGGCGTTGGTAACTGAAGTAATATGCTGTTCAACGTGATAACCTGCCACTGCTGTAGCACTGCGATTAATGGCTTTGCAATAATTACATAAGATTGATTTCAAGCGTACCTGTATGATGAACCACCGAAGAGCAATCTATCCGGGAACAAAGGTTATAGACTGAGAGGTGTTTATAATGTATTCGTGTGCTTTATTGGCAATCTTTTGTTTCTCTTGCAATTGCCATCATGAATCCGGTTTGACAGGTGTTTATGTAACGCCGATGGGCTTTCAGAATTCCGCCGGCCGAGGAGATGATTTGAATAAATGATGCAAATTGATTTGTACAGCATTTTGTAGCAAACGATAAGGACTTGGACCTAGGAGCTGATATGGTTAAAGACATTTACAATGCTCTAGATTGGATGTGAATTTATCGGAAAAATTTCGTCACTTTCATTGTAGATACGGGCAGGGACGTAATGAGGGGTGGCGAGTATCTTTTTAGCAAATTGTCCATGACATTTATTCCATTGTCATTCGCATTATCATATACAGAGGGGACACAGAAGGAAGTCACATTCTACGCCGCTAATTCAGTATTTAAAAGTTTAAGAATCTTGACTTGCATTGTGTTTTAAGCATTTCAAGAGGGAATTACGTGGAAAATCTTGAATAGAATTCATTGAGTACTACTGCTATAGTTCCGAGTGGAATTCCAAGGTAGCTCTGATTCAGATATTCTGAGGATTTGTGACGCTTTTTCTAAAGAGAAATTCGAGATAAATTCTAACGAAACTTTAGAGAAAATTCCTAAGAAGTTTTAAGGTGAATTCTAAGGAAACTCGGAGGATGATTTGGAAACAAATCTGCAAACCAACTGTTATGAAAATTAGGAAGTAAGGGAAATGGATGTAATATCGGCCTAAATTCCCCTAATTTGGGCGGATACATAAATTCAGCAATCGACTAAATTTTCAATAGCGACCAAAAATATCCATAAGTGCCGTCTCAATGACGCGTTTATCAAGATCAAATTAATAAATAGCCGATTTTTAGCGATGGGCCCAAGCATAGATCCATAGGCCAACATTAGAGCCAATGTTCAGCATTGTTGACTATGGGAGGAGGCAGTTGCCTCCCAGCCCCCTGGTTACACCTATGTAAATAACCACTGAAACATACCTTGAAATGACGTCTCATTCGGGCTCAATAAAATTCTGCAATCATGTTAAGCTTACCTGAAAAGAAAAGAGAATGAAAGTTAAAAGAAGTCACAAGAAAATCTCCCTAAATTTGTAGTATATTCTGAAATTATACGGCTATCATCTTCAGACTTTTGAAAAGTCAATAGATACGAAGATGAAAAACTGATTCTAATCAAAAGCGCTGTGATGATTAATTGCAAATTAGAACTGCTTTAAAAATATCCGCTCAACAACCGCAGTATTCCTTCCATCAGCTCTGCGTGTTGATCACAACAAACTTGGCATTGAAACACTTTGTTTCCCTAAGATAACCTAGGCAAACATACCTAGTTTTCAGTTCACTTGTTTACGAAATCCAAAGCCACCGCTTCTACGAGCTTTCCGCAAATTTCAACTCCTACTACTTGCCAGTCTGTCCGTACACATTAGGTACCTCCACTTATGCGGTTTCTCGAAAAAAAAGGAAATCCACTTAACGTGTTATCTTCGTTGGGCTACCTCTTTCGCACACCCGCACATCGACGATCACTTCCAAGGGTATGACACCACTATCAAAAGCCAGCCTGTTGACCACGCGCTCACGTTTTATGGCGTCACTTTATGAATTTACCACCGACCGTAGCGCAACACTGGCTACGGCCATCCGATTGCTGTTGGACCTTTATTGTTTGTTTTTCTATGTTGGCAAGTTTTAATTGAAAGTGAACTATTTATAAGCGAGGAATTTGCTGTCACACGACTGCTGGAAACTTCGTCGACGACGATGGAAATCGATCGACACTGACAGGCAATGCATTGTTAGCAACCTTCAAAAGTAAACGGTTTTCCTGTTATGCATCACACATACACACACACACACACACATCATAGCTGCGACTGGAAATTAATTTAATTCGGCAAACGAAAGTGTGTTTATTGCAAAAGTGAAGGGTTGACCACGTGCAGCAATGTGCAATGTTCAATTTGCCGAGGGCAAATTTGTTTTCAATTTGAATAATACAAAACGAAACTCGATTAATCCGTCGCATCCTTTCTTGGGGTCGGTCATTCAGCTGCTATAAAAAAAAAAATAAACAATCTTTCCGACCTCGTTTTTTGCCCGTGGTCCGTTTCCTCTTCTTCAGATTCAGTTTCCCAACCGGATGTCATAATATTGGTAAGAAAGAAAAAATATGTCGAGAAAAAACGTCAATCTAAAATGGTGATCGAAGATACGGGGCTCCGATTTGGGTCCAAAAATGATGCGTGATCTGAAAAGTGTGCTCTTCTTCCTAGTCGCATGCTTATTGGTGAACCGGGGGTGTCATTTCCTTTGTCTTGGTGCACTGTGAAAGTTGCGTTGTTTTTTCATTAGCCATCCGAACAGCCAACCAAGATTTCACACCCATACGACCGACTCGATGCTTTGTGCGGGGGTTTAGTCTTCTTCCAAATTGTGTCCTCAGTCACAATATACAGAAACGAATAAAGCGAGGTTGCAAATTGGTGCGAGGTGACGTGATCCGAGGAAAGTGAAATTTTGTTTGAAATGATACGAATTTGTTTGCTTTGGGGAATGAGTGAAAAAACAAATCCATAATTGTCTTTCGAAATGCACTTCGAAATAGGGGATAGGGGTGAAAAAATGAGGGATGTTTTAACGCCAACTGGCGAATGAATTAGACCGCACCCTTCTTCGATTTTCAGGACATTTTGCATAATTGTTCGCTAAGGGCAGTCATTAAAATTCATCATAATATAAGAATGACTTTCAGAATTATTTTCTGTGACGACTTAAATTGCGTATTAACAATATGGCTTTATTTCGGGGGCGACTCCGGAATAGTGGTTAGAATCCATACCTCTCACGCCAAAGTCACGAATTCAAATCTCGCCCCAGACAAGTCACGAATGACCCAAGAGCGTTAAAGAGACTATAATACAATATAATAATAATAATAATAATAATAATAATAATAATAATAATAATAATAATAATAATAATAATAATAATAATAATAATAAATATGGCATTATACTTTTGATTTTTCCATGCTTCACGCAGGGTGGCCAGTGTATTTTAATTTTGAAATTCCCTGTTAAAATCTCGTAAAAATACCGGTTAGTTATATTCAGTAAGAAACGAAAATGATCTATGACTGCATACTACTTTTTTATCGTGATAAGATACAAATTGTCGAAGGCATTTTTCGGGAAATTATCTTTTGTAGCAGAAGTTTAATTCAACTAAATGGGTCACTTGATTTATTTGAAACCGAACCATAATTCTTTTTGATAATGTTTTGTTTAATTATAAACGTTTTACAGTCATCCCACAATTATGGGTCAGCTAATAATAATTAAGAATCAGCCTGTTCAGCATCCCGAGCAAAGTAAAATAACAGCCTGATATCATCTTCCATTGTTTGGTTTGTTTTCCGTCGATCTTGTTTTCCGTGTTGTGTACCAATGCTACCGACGCCAGGGAGGC